TCTTTTCGTCTGTCTGTTACTTCGGTCGTTCTCAAAGTTTAGGGTATGTAAGACTCTCCCAAGGAGTTGGCTGAAATGCAGACCCCAGGCCCTAGCCACGCCTGCTATATGGCATCCATACATCCACTCTTGGTAAGCCCCTTCCTCCAGGCCTCTAAATGCCTTTCCTACCCACACCTTCTGCTGTTCCCATTGAGCCACGGACCTTCTGCCTCGTCCTGGAACTTCCCCAAGGACACAGACCAGTGCCCAGTTTCCCGTGGGGATTCTGGTCCATGCTGGCTCCTAAAAAACTGTTGTTACCTGCCAGATTCTCTTTCTCCTCATCCCCCGCCTCTCCCTACCTGCTTGTACAGTATGTGACCTTCACTGGCCTCTCCGGCTAGGAGTCAAGGGATACCCTTAGCGCGGCACTTCCCGTACCCCAGGCTGCATCACACTCCCCTGGATGATTGACGCTGGTCACAGGTTCCCAGGTGAGGCGGATGCTGTAGGTCCACAAATACCCAGAGATCCTGGACCCAGGAGTCTAACATCTGTCTCATACGGTCTGACCTGGCCCTTTGGGGGCATAAACAGCAGGTAGAGAGTTGAATCCTCCCCTCTAAGGCCTGAGGTCCAGGTCTCCTGGTGGTTCCTTTCAGGTCCCGCATCTGCGCTCTCAGTCAGAGCTCATCCCCCTACTGGGGATGTCGTAAGACCTTCCTTTAGTGTCTGTGTTTCACTGACTCTATTTTGGAAGTAGTGCTAATCTGAGCATCACGGTGAGAGTTGGAATTGCTTGATGCAGAGATGTCTGGGGGACAGTAGATTTCTCTTGTCACCCTTTCTGATGGTCAGAGGTTGTGAAGTAAGTGAAACATTCCAGGCTGGTGGTGGGCGTCTATGAGAACATAGTGGTGACTGTCGTTTGTCTCTGCAGAGGGGTTAGAAGTACAGCCTCGTTTATGAACTGCTCTAGGTGTTTACGAAGAGAAAATACACAGTGAACGAACAGATAAGTCAACTTATAATGCGTATAAACCAGCTTGCGATTAAGTGCTATCATTAGACTTTCTGTATGCTGTGACTTTGTAGATAAATAACTAGTTCGATTTTCTCATTCTCTCTACCCCCCTCCACCGCCCATTGCCCCAAGTTTGAATCAGCAGAGATGAGTGGCCAAGGCTGAGGTGAGGGGAACACTGTTCACTGAACAACATTCTGGGACCTTCTAGATTTTCCCTGAGAGGAAGGCACAGAAGGGAGCAGGGAGGAGGAGCAGAATCGGCCTGGTGGCCTGAATCAATCCCCCCAAAAAGTGGGTCAGAAATGGAGAGGAAAGAGTCAGCCAGGATGTGAGTGTGGGTAAGTCGGCCAAGGTCAAGGGCAGCACGATGGACTCGGAACCGGGAAGGAGCTTGCAGAGGACTTGAGGGGGTCCCTGTGCTCTCTAAGTGCGCCCTTGGAGAAGACAGGAAAGGCTCTGCCCCCCGCGGGAGCGTGGGTGGACCAGGGCTGCAGGAACCTTTCGGGGCCAGGCTGCCGCTCTGACGCCCTGGTCCAGGGAGCGAGCCTGCTGCAGGCTGCGGCATGTAAATCGTTGCTTCTCCCCACACCACCCATCCAGAAGTTTTGATAAGATGAGGCCAAAGTCACCGAACAAGCCACAGCAATATGCTGTGGGTTGTTTTTCCCCAAGTGCAGAAACATTTGTCAAATCGCTCAACAGCCGGGCAGGGGGCTGGTGACTTGTTGCAGATGACAGCAGGGGACAGCTGGGACCGAGGCTTGGAACCGGTCACCAGTTCACCAGTCAGCTGGAGCAGGGATGGGGGAGGCTGCTGTTCCCTCCAGGCCAGGTCCCCTCACCGTGGTCACAGGACCAAAGCAGAGTCGCTGGCGGGAGCCCCTCAGCCCTCGGCTCCCCTCGGGCGTTAAGCGCTTGCGCGTGTAAAACCAGATCCCAGAGTGCGGGTCTGTGTTGAGAGCCGCTGGAACTAGAACCAGCCCAAATGGTTCTACCGGCGGAGCGGGGCGGGGGGCTGCTGGCCAGGCAGAGGGAGCAGAACAGCACAGCACCCCTCACGACCAGCCTGCTCCTGTAAATATTTGTAAACGCCCCCCAGGGCGCCAGAACCCAGGACAGGATCACTGGCCAATCTGCTTAGAAGAAGAAGAAACAAAACTGACCTCGTGGTCCGAGGCAGCCGTAAAAAGAAAGAGCGCGTATGGGCAGAAGACCAGAAAGGGGGGGGACTCGGCTCAAAGTTTAATAAACACAAAAGAGAATAAAAATAAATCTCAAGAGCTCTTATCGACGCACTTGATGCAAGGATGAGACGGAGTGGGTAGGTGTGAAGGAGGGGTGTTGGTGGCGCGGGCTGCGGGGTTGCGTGGAGAGGCAGGGGGGAATGAACTAGATGTTTATGCTTTCTAACGACGGGAAGCTCACTGCGCGCGCTGTGCTCTTGCAGGATGCTCCTTTGAAGCGCCTGCTGCCTACGGGGAGGCCACGGGACGGTGAGCGCAGCCGCCAGGCCCGGGAAGCATCTGGCCAGGGTACAGAGGGTGCGCAGCCAGGGAGCATGGCACCCGCCCCGCCCGGGCTTCTGGTCCTGGGCGACCCGACTGTTTTCAGCTGAGCTGGTCAGGCTGGTGCCGACCTGGGGTGGGCATGTTCAGGGAAGGAAAGATCGATTTCTGCTGAGCAGCTACCTTTTCAAATTGCTGTGCTGGGGGCCCCACCTGTGTGAATGTTTTCCCACCTGAAAACTGCTCACCAGTTATTTTATGGTATAGTCAGTGGGCCATCACTGGGTCGGCATAAATACCTTTTGTTTTTAAATCCTCACCGGAGGACATTTTTGCATTTATCTTCAGATAGAGCAGGAGTTCAGAGAGGGAGAAAGAGAGAGAGAGAAACATTGACGTGAGAGAGACGCATCGAGTGGCTGCCACCCGCACTACCAACCAGGGCCGGGGACAAACTGCAACCGAGGTACGTGCCCTTAGCGGGAACCGAACCCGGGACTTTCTGGTCTGCGGGCCGACGCTCTAACCGCTGAGCCAAACCGGCCAGGGCCGTAAATATTTCTTTTCTCCGAAATCTGAATGCTTCAGATTTTTGTTTTTATTTGTTTGCTTCTTCGTTTCTGAGACTTTGGGCTCATGAGCACAGGGCCTCCTCCACACACTGTTTCCGAAGCGGGCCAGCCAGGCGCGGCTTGGAGCCCACAGGCCTCCCTGAGCTGCTCCCGAGAGCCCGGCCGGGGCCAAGGGAGGGGACCGGACTTTCAGGCGTTGAGGGTGCAAAAGTGTGAAGCTCTCGGATGAGGACGTCTTGCTGGGTTCCCAGCACTTTTTTATTTATTTTTCCTTCAGTGTAATCGTCGGGGTGTGGGTTTATCAAGCAATCGCGAAAGGTGTTTATTTCTGCTTTAAGATCAGCAAGAGGGCTCATTTATTATTTATTTATTTAAAAGACATGGAACTTTTTAAAATATATATATTTTTTCTTTATTGATTTTAGAGAGAGAGGAAGGGAGAGGGAGAGATAGAAACATCAGTGAGAGAGAGCATCGAGTGGCCACTGGGGATCGGGCCCACAACCTGGGCGTGTGCCCTGAATGGGAATCGAACCGGCGACCTCTTGGTGCAGGGGTTGATGCTCAACCACTGAGCCACACCAGCCAGGCACGATGGCTCTTTTATTTAATAAGGACTTAGCCTTGCCAATAGCCAGATGCCCGAGTCTTTCAAGGCTCTGTGGATGACCACGTATGCAAACAGTGGATATTTGGTAAACTGTGTGAGGGTAGATCCCTGTCCTAGGGATGCAGAGAAGAAGAAAGACTTGGCACACGTGGTCTCTGCCCTCGAGATTCTTAAAATGGCATGGGGGAGCACGCAGCAAACAAACACAGCGCAGAAGTAACAAGAACATCTGCCAGGCCTAGCTGGCAGCCAGCGGCTGCTTCTGTTGCGATGCAGCCATGTGCTTCCGGAGAGGGTGGAACGGAGTAATGACGCCACCAGAGCTGGAGAGAGCATTTCGGAGTAATGCAGGAAAGTTTGCAGGAGATTTTGGAAGAGGATTGTAGTAAATCCGTACCAAGCGGCCTTCCCAGTCAGTTAAGTGGGTATTATGGAGGATGCATGGGGATGGAATTTGGACCTGCTTTGCTTTTGGTATGACCTCGATTGCATCTTCAAAGCAATGGCAGATGACTACAAAGCAACAGCCTAGCTCTAGCTAGCCGTGAGCTTGATATTATTGTGTGCTTTTACCTGGCTCAGAACTGAAGGAATTTGGGCGGATTCATTTGCCAAGACTCCCTCCCACCAAGGGACATTATCCTGGATAAAGATCTCTAAGACTGGGCCTTGTATAGCCAATATGTGGGTATAGTTTGTTTTTTTTTTAATTCAAATTTCCTCATCCTGACTTAACTAGAGGGTGTATTTGGTCACATGTGTGTGAAAAACCAAAGCGATCGAAGCCAAAAAAAGATGCAATACACGGACCTGGAGAGAGTAGAACATTCGGATGCCAAAATTTCAAGGAAAAAAAAATACGTGGGCAAACTGCTGGCCATTAGGAGCTATTTTCTTGGCACGTGTGACTCAGGCGTGCGCAGGTCTACAGTTCTCCCTGGCGTCAGCTGTCACGAGCACGCTCCCGCTCGTGACCGCCTAGCATTCGCCACGGCGATGTCGGCTTTCAAAGGACGCGGTTAGCTGCACGCCCGCAAAAGGAGGTGGAAGTGGTCTGTTAATCTCCATTAATCCGCTACTCCCGTAACTGAAGGCACATGTTTATTTTATTTATTTTATTTTTTTTCTAGTTCAATTGTTAATGGTATGAAATTGGCCATTGAAAAGGAAGTCGTTCTGGAGATATGTTCCTTATGGTTTCTTGAGACAGTCTTCTGCCACACGGTTTTTTCTTTTTCTTTTTTCTTTTTGGAGAGAACAGTGGATTTTTATCATTTTTCAACGATTGCCCTAACTTTTCACAGATGCCATCCCGCCCACTTTCTACAGACCCTACTTCAGGATCGTCCGGTTCGACGTGTCGGCCATGGAGAAAAACGCTTCCAACCTGGTGAAGGCAGAGTTCAGAGTGTTCCGCCTGCAGAACCCAAAGGCCCGGGTGCCCGAACAGCGCATCGAGCTGTACCAGGTAACCTCCCTCGGGTTGTGGGAATGGACAGTCAGCTTGGAGTCTGGGGGTGGAAGTCTTCTTCTTCTCTCAAATTTTCGGAGCTGATGTGAACCATTCTATGCATTTCCAAACGTGTGCAGTCCGTCCCTCGTTCTTCCTCCACCCCTTGGGAAGGAAGAGCCCTTAGAAAGGCGTGGCGACGCTGGGCACATTTCTTCAGTGGCATGAAAGACTGCAGCACCCACCTCGGGAGGGCTTCAGTGCAGAGGCCCACCCTCTTCCTCTGGAAAGTCAGAAAACGTAGGGCCAGCTGCACCCGGGGGAGGGAAGTCAGTGACATTCCTCTTCTGGTCCAATGGCTGTGGTCCCTTCCTCTTCTTTTATCTTCCTTCTTACTGTCTTCTCTCTCCCTCTTCGTTCTTTTTCCTTCCTCTCTTCCCTGACCTCATCCCAACTCCACCCGCTCTCTCCAGCCCACTCCACCTGTCCACCCCGCACACACCCTCTGTCTGCTCCTGTCTTCGGCCCACCCTGTCCTCTCCCTCATCTCCCTAACACAGTCACTGGGCAGGGGTGTCAAAAGCTGATGACAGGGACCCAGGGCCGAGGGACTGAGATGTCGGAGATGTTCTTGAAGCCATCAGCGAGGCGGAGGCATCAGCATCACCCGGGAGCTGTGAGAAATGCCGATTCTCAGGCCCCACCCGGACTCGCTGAGTCAGACCTACCTTTTTAACAAGACCTCCAGGTGACTGTCGTGCGCATGGCAGCCCTGAGCCTGGGGGGTGAGGCAGGCCTGTGAGCAGGTCACTTCAGCGTCAGTGTTGAATATGAAGCACTGAGGGTGGTGACGACACTTGGCGGGGCCTCGAGAAGAGTCTGTTTAGACAGGATCATTGGGCGCTTGGCGGAAGGAACAGCTTGGACAGAGACAGGGTCTTGAAGGGATACTCAGTGTCTAGGGGCGAGGAGAGATGGGGAGACGGTTGTCCCTCCAGGGAGACTAAAGGGGATCAAGAACAGACCCCCCGAGAGCCCCCATGTCAAGGAGTAGGCATGTACGACAGTGCGCACTAAGAGTGGGCTTACTTCCAGGGAAGAAAGGAATGGACGCGGGACGTGGAAACCTCTGGTTGTCCTGGATCCCAGCCGTTCGGAAACCTGGACGAGAACGTTCTTTGCCTTTCTCACGAGCATGAATTGCCATGCGAAACACTGTGTGCGCGAGACCTCAGACACGACATTTCAGGGTTTCAAACAGTTTTCCAAGGCCAGTTTACACGCGAGTGCATGAGAAATAGTTCTCGCTTATTAAAACGAGTCCTCAAGGACCTTGCCTTGGAGAACTTCTCCGAGAACACCTTGCGTGGCGCAGTGACCCAGGTGGCGTCGGAGCTTCCTGATGCCTAGCAGAGGATCAGCCCCGCTGGTACCCACTCCATGGCTGTTGCCCCAGTGAACACTCACAGCCGTACTGTGAAGTTTGCATGATGAAGTCGTCTTACGTTTCCACATGTATTACGATGCCATTGACATGGACCATCCCATTAGTTTTAGGTGTATAGCATAATGACATGATTTTGGACGTATTGCAGAGTGATCCCCACGATAAGTCTAGTTCACACCCATCACCTCATGTCGTTACACATTTTTCCTCCTTGTGATGAGAACTCGTAAGACCTACTCCCGGCAACTTCCAACTGCCCAGTACCGTGCTGTTAACTGGAGTCACCATGCTGTGCATTGCATCCCAGGCCTTATTTTTCTTCTAACTGGAAGTTTGTGCCTGTGACCACTTTTACTCATTTAAGGTCCTCTTTCTACTGCTGGACTTTTTCTCCGTTTTACAGAGAAAGACGCTGAGTCGCACAGAAATTAAGTTCCGTGGCCAGGGGCACTCAGCGAAGGCTGGGACGCCTGTCTCCCCCTTTCCACCACTCACGATGCTGTCGGTGGCCGGTCTTTCTCCCTCTCTGCCTCAGTATCAGCCAGAAGGGAAGAAAAAATGTTAAACCCTCGGCGGGCCAGAGAGTGGAGTGCTATTTGGAAGGGAAGCAAAGCCTGGGTTCTCGGGGGGGAAAAAAAAGCTAGATCAAAAGGTAGTCAGATGCATTTCAAGGTGATTTTAAAAAATAACAGAACCATGATTAGGTGTCCTCTCTTCTTTTTCACTTAAATCACTCTGACATGTCTCTGTGTTCGGGCAACGGCCTCACGGGCTGTCCCCTGGCCTGTAACACGAGCTGCTCGGTCGCTGTTGTTCTTCGGCCCTGACCTTCTGCCCTGAGGAGTGGCCTCCGTTAGAGGTTACTGAGAGCTTGCCTGACTCCCCGAGGCCGGCTGGTCTCCGGGAGGGGGCGTGTCATGTCCCCTGGGGCTGGCAGTTTGGAGGACCTTAGTGAGTTCTTAGTGACTCTACCTTCTCAGAGGTCACTGGCTGCCCCATGTCTGAGCAACAAGATCTTCCCAGACTGGAGCCCCCGCCCCCAGAAAAGGGACACCCAGGATGGAAGCTTACTCTCTGGGGAGGGCGAGCGTGGGCTTCCTCATGGTCACCGAGCACGGGAATCCAGAGGTGGTTTAGAGGAAAAATGAAGAAGAATAACAGCTTCTTCTCTGGCTGCAGCTCAGCCGGACAGCAGTCTAACCCCCTGAAATACAGCCGAGGTCCAGAAAGTAAGTCAGAGACCCCAGGACCTCCCGGCAGGAGACACAACGCATCAGGTCGCCGGCTCCAAAGAGGCAGCCACCGGCCCTGCGTTCTGGTCTCATGGGGCGGGTTCTCTCCGGGGCCCCCCGAAATTAGAAGCCCTGGATTAAGGTGGGGGCCTGGAGGGAGGTGCTGACAGGGGCAAATCACCCTTTGGACTTTGAGACTTCTGCCCATTCTCAATGCCAGCCTGTTGTGGACAGTCTCCCCAAATCTTACCCGGTTTGTGGTTACCCGGTTCTTTATCCCTGTCGCACCCTGTCTCGCTGCTGACCTCCTCTGTGGCCTCTTTGTTTGGGGTCCCACTCTCCAATTTCTCCTGGACTTACCGGCCATTTGGAGGCCTCTGCAGGCTTCAGCAGTGAACCCCTCTTTCAGCCCCAGTACAGAAATCTATGCTCATGATAAGAGCCTTGAATTAGGAGGGTGAGGCTAAATGATACCCGGAAACGAAATGTAAGCAATCACATTTTAGAGGGTTTCATATCTAAAATTTCTGAAATGTTATTTATGTATTTTTGGTGGGGGAGAAGGCTTGGTGCTGAAATGGGCAGATCTTTAGCCGTTTGGAGAGCTCTCCTGTCCGGAGGAACAAAGCCTTGGGGATTTCTAGGTGCCCCCTGGTCACTCGGCCACTTACACACAGTCGGCACTCTAGTCCCTCGGGGAAGGACGGTAGCAGGGCTGGGGGGGAACGGGTTGGACGGTTTATAGGGATTCCTCAGGAAAATGAGTCTAAGCAAGAGGAGTGAGTGTGTGTGTGTGAGTGTGTGAGTGTGAGTGAGTGTGTGACTGTGCATGTATGTGTGTGAGTGTGTGCGTGTGACAGTGTGTGTGTGTGTGTACACAAGCTCACAAGTGGGTGCAGGCAGTCCCCCACGTAGGAAAGCCCTAGGGGAGCTTCTAGAAGGGCTGCCCACAGCCCCTGGGCTGGAGACTCATTCTTCCCGGAGCGAACAGGCACGGACGGCGGGCAGACGTGGTCTGAGAAAGCTCTGATTTCAACGCCATCCGTCCGCATCCTTCCGTCAGAACCAGATGTAAGGCACATCCCACATGTCCGGAGTCACTTCGTCCCATACAGGAGATAGGTCCGACCTCCAGAGTCCGAGGCCGGAAGGACCTAGGATAGCATTTCCGTGACGAGTCTGTCCAGGGCTGGGTACCTTTGATCCGCCCGCCTGGGAGAAGTATGACACGGGGCCTGTGCAAGGCACCTGTTTCCTGACAAGGGGACTTGGGGTTCTCACTCCTCTCCCCTCGACAGACCAGTCCGCCGGACTCGGAAACGGCAGTCAGATGACACCTGCTCTCCTCCGGCTGGCTCCGATTTGTTACGTGGAACTGGGGTGTGAATGAGGCACAGCCAGTCTATAGGGCATCGGAGGGCATATGAGGGGCAAGGCCCTCGGGTGGATGAAGGCAGAGGAGGAAGAGAGACTCTGGCTAAATCCTACGCCGTTTATACTCATTTATTTGTGGCTTCAAACTGAATGTTAAATGTTAAATGTTTCCTATTTGAGGATAAAAGGGTGAATTGATGATTACGGAGTAAAATAAGTAAACAAAGATTTTAGTGGGAGAAGCAAATCACGTCACTTTAGTGAACATTTTACACACACATGCACACACACACACACACACACACATATATTCTCTGCAAAAGATTTTAAACTATACACACCCCTAAGGCTTTAGAGTAAAAATTCAAGGTTGATGGTGTAGGTCTGTTTTTTAAGGGCTGCTTTTGCTGCAAAAAGAAGGTTGGGGATCCTAACATTTTGGGAAGTATGGCACTAATGGTGTTAATGAAAGTAGCTCCCTTTTCCTAACCTTAATCCCATGCGTGTGCACGCCACACACACACACACACACACACACACACACACAGAGTTCAGCTTTCATTTCTCATATTGCCCAAGGGCGTATAAAATAAAAAGTCAGCCAAGAAAACCGACTGTCTGTTCAATTAGACTTTGCAGAAAGTGCTATGGGGGAAAAAAAAAGTTAGACTGTGCTGTTATACAGACTTTTACAGCATGCAATCTCCTTAATACCGATCCTAACCCCAGCCCCACGTTGGAGACACACACAGTACAGTAACCCACTTAAAAAAATAAAAATAAAAAGAGCCATGAGGTATAATAAACACTTTGTTTGCACGAGGCTATTAATATCTCAGGTATTTTTCAACCTGATCGAATGACAGGCTCGCCTCCTGGGGAAATCGGATCCTTATCGTTTGCAGTGGGTATGACGTTACCCTGGGTCTGTTAACCTGTGAGCAGACAGGACCCCATGTGAACAG